ACCTCTGAATCTGAGCGATAGCTGAATAGGTCAGCTCTACCCGTCACCTAAACAGTAACCAATCCTTAGATACAACTCAAAATGCCTCAATACCCCCCCCCCCTTCGGTCAAACTTGGTCAAAGACAAAAGTCAAAGTTAAGGTCAACAGTCCATGTTGACCCAACCACGCCGTGTTAACTTGCAAACACGCCGTGTTTCGCCATCATCCAAATAGTCGGGAAAACCCCAGCCAACACGCTGTGTTGACTTGCAAACACGCTGTGGTTGCTTGAGTTCTAACAACTTAATACATTAAGCTGTTTTCTTCGACTCCAAGAGCTCCAAAGCTCAGATCTAGACCAAAATGAGATTTAGAGGGGTAAAGTTTCCAACTTTATCCATTGGGACTACCAAAAGGTCCAAAACCCAAACCATAAAGATTGATGATGCAAGGGCTTAACCAATAAGCACTTAATCCTTAAAGTCCGAAGTCCATCCTTTCCAGAAGAGATTCTAACACCCAAACCATCTCAAAGGTTGGTGCTTTTTAGACATACATGTCCAATGGATGTCTTGAACCCATATTAGGTCAAAAATTTATGACCTAATCTCTATGCATGGCTTCAAAACTTGATTATAGACCAGATCCAAGACACTACTAGATCACCTTGACTTGGAGATCCATAAAGTTGAAAATTTTATGAGATCTAACCATTCCAATATTCAAGAACAAGAAACTAAAGGGACACAACTTAAGATCTAACAACATGGAATGATAAAAATTGAGTCTTGGACACTTACAAAGGTCCAGAAGAGTGCCAAACTGAAGAATGAGGGCTTGCTTGCTGGATCTTTGCTTCCTACCTCCACCTTCTTCCTTCTTTAGCTTCAAATACACCAAACTAGCTCAAAAATGGGAGGGAACGATGATTAGGGTTGCAAAGGATGATTTGGGGGAATGGAGGCTGATAAAGAGACCAACTCTTGGGGACTTAAGGAGATTATATAGGGTGCAACACCGTAAAAATTAGGGTTTTATCCACCAGCCGCCAACACGCCGTGGAACGACACCATCACGCCGTGTTGGTCCAATAAACTTTGCGGCCCAAAGGCTTATCGTCACGCCGTGGTGAGGCTTCACTACGCCGTGGCCAAAGAGACATCCTGAACAATTTGGAATTAAATTCATACCTAGAATCGAGTGTTACAAATCTCCCCCCACTTGAATCAGACTTTGTCCTCGAAGTCCGCCGCCCCAAATAACTCTGGGTAGTGCTCTCTTATCTCGTCCTCAGGCTCCCAAGTCCAGTCTGATCCCTTGCGATGCTGCCACTGCACCTTCACCAACTCGATTACCTTGTTCATCAAGAGTTTCACCTTCCTATCCAAAATTGTCATCGGTCTCTCAATATAATTCAGGCGGTCATCCACCTGAATATCCTCCAATGAAATAGGTTCTTATTTAGGGTTTATAGCCCAATTATTAATTGAGGATTTATTGATTATTTAGTGCGGAGACTTTCAGGATCAGCAGTCCGAGCATTTATCTGATTTTCAGCTGTTTGAGGTGAGTCTCCTCACTGTGCTTGACGCTTCGAAGGCACCAATGCCGGCCCATGATTTATTATGATTAGGATGCTAGTTGTCTGTGTGACTCTTGCATGTGTAATATGTGATATGTATATCGGGAGGGGGGGGGAGGGGTCCGATGCTAGGCGGGGCCTGATGAGAGTATTGTATGCTATTTGTTTCAGTGATTCTTGTATATGTTTTATATGTATATATGTATACCGGGGCGGGCCTGATGACAAGCAGGGCCTGATGAATGTGATGAGGCGGGACCCATCTCATATTATTAAGAGATCTATTCCGGGCGGGGCCCGATGGTATGTATGGTATGGGGTATTTTGGGGAATTCACTAAGCTTCGTGCTTATGGTTTTCTGTTTATGTTTCAGGTACTTTCGGATCGAAATGGAAGGGCTCAGGTTGATCGCATCGCACACACCACGTTGTTCCGCATTTTGTTGACTTGATGAACTTGGATGTTTATTGACATACTATGATTTTCTTGTATGGTTTTTATAAACACGTTTTGGTTGATGGTTTTATTATAATTAAAATGAAATTTTTGGTATTAAGTTTTGGGAGGTTTCACAATTCACAAGACACTATACTATACAGAAGAACAAATCAAGAACATTGAGTTTGACTTTCTTTACTTCCTTATAAACTTGCAAACAAATCATCCAAATAAAAATGATCATTTAGTGTGGGAGAGAAATTAGCCAAGCATGGTTAGGACTAGGGAAGCCAGTTAGAGGACTTAGAGGAGGATAATGCGTTATCAAGATTCAAGACAACAAAATGGAAATTTCCAATGAGATAGGCGAGCAAGACCGACGATCTACTAGCACGGTTATTAGTTTTATTAGGGGTTGATCTTTTTGGTCATTGTTATAAAAAGCTAAAACGTTTGCTATAACTTATATTAGAAATACACACACACACACACACACACACACACATATATATATATATATATATATATATATATATATATATATATATCTATCTTAAATTGTTGATAAATTATAGAATTTATGCTAAGTTTTTGATTTTTTTGATTTCTTTGATTTTTTTCACAAAAATTATTTCAAGATTACGACTAAATGTTATATTGCTTTACCATACAAAAAGGCTTAGCGGCACAACTTGTTACCCGTTTGCCTTCTCATTCGTTGTAAGATGATAACTAAGATATATTAACTTAAAAAAATAGGGTAAATGTCACTGTAGCCCTACAATGTTTTGGGTTTTAGTCGATTCAGTCCCTTAACTTAATTTCTTGCTTTTTAAGGGATTAAAGTCTATAGCAACCTGTCTATTTAGCCATCCTAACCTATTGTAGCCGGATTCACATGCCATGTCAACTAAAATTGCCAAAATGCTGAAATTTTAGGGCTAAATATATAACATGTGTTATTATCTTCCCCAAATTTCCTTGTGAATAGAATGTAAGCAGCATGCTTGAATCAACTCATAACCAAAAGTGAAGTTTTCAATCTTCAACTCATTTCAATAATCAAATCCAGAAACAAAACCAAAGTCGTTACCCAGCTCCGCCTTGACGCCGTCGCTCCTCTGTTTGTTGACCAGGTTCCGGTGTATTCCAGTATCTTGAATCCCCTTTTCAAAACTCAATCCCTGAAATTCTTCGATATCTCCATGAATTCGTTGGTAGGTGAGATCCCCGAAGATGTGTTTGGTAACCTCATCGGACTTGTTCATCTTGATATAATGTAGAACAACTTCAATGACTCCATTCCCGACCAACTTTTCCGATTAACAAAGTTACGTTATTTGGATATGAGCACGAATTCGCTTGAAGGTGGACTAGGACCTGAACAGGTTTCTCTTCGGACTTGACAACATTAAAGATGAGTGTGAATCGTTTCCAGGGTATGATTGTTCAATCGCTTTTCAAACTTGAATCTCTTTGTATTCTCGATCTAAGCAATAACAATCTCACTGGTGGTTTAAGTTCTGAAGTTGGAAACCTTTGAAATCTTGAATCCTTAACCAGTCGATTGAATATTACCACTTCGACTAATATTTTTTTCTTTTACTTCCGATTCACACTTCAATCTGCAATTGATTTCACCGACTTCACTTCGACTCTATTTAACCAAAAGAACTCCAAGTTTGACTTTTCAATTCTATGATTTGACCATTCTTTGGTAACTCACTAACCATTCATCTATACTTCGATATCACCACACATAAAACTTCGATCTTGAACTTGTGATTATCGAAACGATTTCAATCCATATTGCTACCGAAACATCAATAAACACCAATTTTGAATTTTACATTGACTGTTCTTCAATTGTTCGATAACCAACTCAGTGACGCATCAGAACCAATTTGACTATTTCGATACTCGACACGTCAAGTGCTTTCGATAATTTTCAAAGTAAGTTCCATAAACACCAAAATTCATCTCCATCTTCAACTGTTCTAAGTGACGTTGATTTTACTATGTGAGTCCATGTTGGTGATGATTTGGCAATTTTAGTTGACGCGACATGTGAAACCGGCTACAATCAGTTAGGATGGCAAAATAGACAAGTTGTTATGAACTTTAATCCCTTAAAAAGCAAGAAATTAAGTTAATGGACCGAATCAACCAAAACCCAAAACATTGTAGAGTTACAATGACATTTACCCAAAAAAATATTGGTATATTTTGAATTATTTATAAAAATCTTTAATAATAACACATAAAAATATATTTTATGATAATACCAACACCATAACTATATATCTATTTCTAAATTTGGAGACGCCTTAAAATCAGAAGCCTTATTCGACCGCATCACTTGCACACCCTAGGGCCCCGGCGTTGAGAATGCACATTCACAAGACTACTTAAATTTCTACCTCCTTGGTAACTATGAACGATGCAGGGTGAAAACGGAAACTATTTTGATGACAGTTTGATAATAATGCAACTTTTCATATTGGTCAAAAAAAAAAAAAAAAAAAAAAAAAAAAAAAAAAAAAAATCACAGAAATTAACCAAAACAAGTGGTCTTATATTACAAGCTACGAAATTGCTATTTGCTACCGGACTAACTTTCCAGCCCTATCATACATGGGCTGAAGAGCAAACCCATCAGTAATTTTGTATTCCTAAACTATGGTTATATTTTGTTTTTAGTAATGATTTTAATGTATTTTGTTATCTATGTGAATTTAGGTGTAGAATGCCAAAATGGGCAGAACATTTGGGGAAAATTAAAGATTATTTAAGGAGCCTGAAAGTTTTTTATTGGTAAAAGATTACTGTTATTTTTCTTTTCTCATTTTCTCTAATATGCCGTCATTTATCTCAAATACATTTCAACATCATTTATACAATCCGGACAGCAAATAAAAGTATAAAACAGTAACTTTGCCAAATATTTTCAAAGTTTAATTATTTAGAAAATAGAAAATGAATAAACCAAACTCTCATTTAATTAACAGTAACTTTGCCAACCATCCCAGCACCTTGGTGTGGTGCACAATAGAAACTGTAAGTCCCTTTCTCAGTCAATGTCACTGCATACGTGTCTCCTCCTGCATTCAACAAATCCTCTTCACTCATTGAAATCTTGGACACGTCAACGCCAGCTGGAACCTCGTCTTCATCAAACACAACGTTGTGTGGGAACCCTGCGTTGTTCTTGAACACAATCTTCTCGCCAGATGCAACACTGAAGGTGGATGGTTCGAAAACCAATCCACCGTCACTGCTTCCTAGCAAGACTTCTGCTGCCAGCGAGTTGCTGGCCAGCAACGCGCTGGCAGAAACAGCGATAGCTGTGGCCACCGCTTGCTTCAATGAAGCTCTCACTGAGAGCTTTGGGGTGGTGGATGCTACCTTGACGGTAGCAGTAGTGGCCCTTGAACCGGCTGCGGCGGTCTTGAGGCCGGTGAATGATGGGATGGAGATGGTGGAAGATGTTATGGTTGCCATTGGGAATGAAAATGAAATGAAGTATTGGTGTTTGGAGAAGAAGGATGTGGGATTTTAAAGTGATGAGGCTGATCTTTTGTGTGGTTTTTGTTTGTTGAGGTGGTGATGGGTGCAAAATGAGTTATCTTATCGTGAATGTGTGAATGCTATCCACTCATTTGATGTGGTGGTCTTTGATTGGTTGGAAAGTATGGGAAAATCCCGGAGTGATAAAAAATCTTTGTAGAATATATATTTTTTTTTTTACATTTACAAAAATTTGGAACAAGAGATGAATGTGAACATAGACTCCATAGACTCCACGTGCTTCCATATTTTATCCTTTATTCTTAGATACATAAAAATTGCAAAAAGTATGTCCCAAATCATACATTATATTTAAAAATATGTCTCATTTTATTATATTTATAAAAATATGTTTGATCTTTTACATCCATTTAATTTTTCACTCCATATATTCAACTTTCTTCCTAGCTTTTTATTTCCTTTTATGGACCAAAATTAGACTAATGTCTTTGTGAGACATGGTTTTAGGAACCATATTATGAACTTATGTAAGCTTGAATATTATGTAAAGCATGTAAAAATAATCGATCACGCTCATACTTTTTAAAATATATATATCTACTACGTAAAATATTTGCAGAATCAAAAAATAAATAATGGGTCCGAAATTTACCTCAATTTCCATGTCTACATGTCCGCCGATTATGAACAAATGCTACCAAATGCATTGAGATTCTTAAATAAATAAGCACTCAAAATCTGAAATACCAATTGTACTTCATTACAAAACGATCACCTCGAGTGTACTACACAAACCATTTGTACTACTTCTAGATGTACACATCATCTTTTTATTTATGATTTTAATATGAAATAATTGGTAAAATATAGGCAAATCACCTATATTCTACAATCAATTTCTATAATTGTTAGATAAAACTAATTCTACAACGATTCAAATTTTCCGGCCAATCTCCGGCGATGTAATTTTTCCGACGACTTTGAATGAGAAGTTGGTTAAGAAACGACGTCGTGATAGAAATTATCATAAATAGCGGTTTCAATACAAGTGATAATCACATGATGGGTATCGCAAAATAACATGAAATTCATGATTCTAATTTTTGTAACGTAGAAAATTTCCGTAAATTGTTCAAGAAATCCTTTAAGTTTGCTGATAACGTTTATGTCCAATACGTTGAATACTTGAATTTGTATTTTTTATGAATCGGGAACACTCGTAATATTCTCAATTAAGAAAATTTATCCATATAAGTCGCTACATATAACATCAATTTCTCACTTTCTACTGTTGTTATACCATTTTGCCCTTTATTCATTCAACCGGAATGAATTTTCTGTTCATGAATTTTCGTATATCACCATACCTTCAACATCTTTACTTCGAACTTCTTGATTGGTTGTTGAATTTTAGTCATCCATTTTTAAGTTTTATTATGTCGGTTGATTAGATTAGGAATAAGATAGTTTGGTGTTTAAAAAAAAATCAATCACAACATAAGTAAAAACAACTTCAATAAAAACCTTAACCTCACGTTCCTTTATTTATATAGTGGACTCCCAATAACAAATGTAGAAGGTTTTCAGATGCACTAATTTCAAGGTATGTGGTGTACGTAATCCTTGGGTAGGGAGTGTGTCGAAGTAAATTTCATTTTATTCCAGCTAAATAATTTTTCTTTCTTTAACAAGAAAACATGAAATATTGTAAATATTTCAAATGGATAAATGAGGACAAAGCTACACATATTCGTTTCTTGAAATGCACATAGAGAAGAAGGATATGCAATTTGAAATGAAGGAAACACAAACAAAATAAGAAACGGGTAGCGTGGACTGGGGATGAATTTTTTTTTTTTTTTTTTTTTTTGTTATGTTACTTAGGGTTGTCATTTTGACATTGTTGGTTGTAGTTTTTCTTTGTTTGTGAAATTGCATGTATTGGCTTTGCCTTAATTAGTTTATTAATCAAATTGAAGTTGACTTATTCAAAGTTTGGTTTAGTGATTAATCTTTGACTAATTACTATAATTGTTGTTTTCATATTGGTGATCAATATTTGGTTTGTGAAACTACATATATACTGCCTTCGCCTTACTATGAAACATCAAACATGTATGAAAGTTATAACAAATAGCCAACACTAAGATAATTAACTAATATTGCAATTAATTCTCAACCATAATTTCTTTCAGATAAGAAAAAATCTGTCAGGAAAAAAGATAACGAAATTTTTATTAGCTACTAATCAAGTGTTTGGTTGCTTACAAGCAAACAGTTGAAAGCGAGCTCAATTGCAACAAGCTTTTCTTCATTGAGAATCAAAACAGCCCCATTCGTTGTTAAACACACATTCAATGAACGTGTAGATCCGTTGGATGTGAAATGCCATGAAACTATAGATCCACAAGCATTAGATGTTAAATTTAATTTCTACTTTCTCCGATTTCTGCTATGGATCTGAGAATAACATACCTACTCTTCAAGAGGGCAATTGAATCGCGCAGAGAAGGAGTTGTACGTAAAGGTCGCCGGTTGTTGATACACTCGGTCTCTCGCCTTCTCGAGCAATTATTCATTTGTGGTTTCTTCGTCCGGGGAAACAGCAATCACCACCGCCGCTTCTAGGTTAGACTCCGGCTGGAAAATTCTCATGTTAACTACAGACAGTGGCGGATGTAGCTAGTAAGAAGTGGGTCCATGCACCCCACTTGTAAGTGGGTCCCACCTATTATATTACCAAAAAGACCTTTAAACAATTCGTTTTTTACTAAGAAAGCCCCTCCATGGCACCCACTCTTACAAGAAAAGTCCCTCTTTAACTTTTTTTTTGCTGAAAAAAACTAAGAATATCCTAAAATTTCTTAATATTATATTTTTATATGTTTTTTATATATAATGGACCCCCGTTAACTTCGTTCCTGCATCCGCCACTGACTACAGAGACCATTGCCATAGCAGCAGATACGTAAATAATCAAACAAATAAATTCACAATGAAGTAACACATTCTTCGAGTATTCCAACCGCAAATGAAGCAATGTATATGATTACCTGGAAGACGGAGTGGGCGGATGGCAGGAAGCGAGGAAGGAGGTTGCCGAAGACGAAGGAATATGATGAGATGCCGGAGAGGATTCCGAACGTCGATTCCGGAGAGGCGGAGAGGATTCTGAACGCCAAAATGCCCGCCGTTCCTCACCTTACGTTTTTTCAAGTCAAGATGATCGAATGTTTTTGAGTTTGTAATTTTTGCAGTTAAACTATGAAGTCAGATGCTTTAACGCACCGTTAAAAAAACAAAATAAAATAAATAAAATAAAACAAAACAAAAAAGAAAAACCTGTGATGCTTTTTGAGATTGTATGGTTACCCCACCCAACTTTTTAGGTTAAATTACCGTGATAGTAATCTATGTCTTTAGTCCTAATAACTTTTTTCTTTTTCTTTAATTTGGAGCGTTTTCTATTTCATATTTTTGTTCTACGTTTAGTCTATGTTGTTCTAAAAATACTGATTTATTGGGACCAAGTGTGCAACAAAAATTTAAAGTATAGATGGTCCGAGTTAAAAAAATATAAAATAGAGACAATCGAAATTGAAAAAAAAAATATTAGGGACTAACACATAGATTGTCTTAAACAACAGGGACCATCCGTTAATTTACCCCAACTTTTATACAAAAACAAATATCTCACTTCATTTAGACCTACCACATCGGTCTTTCAAAAAGAAATTACAATGCCATTTGGATTTCTTCTTTCTATATTGCAAGACTTGCAAGTGTTGTAAGTGATTTTATATTATTATTTTAATTGAACAATCATATTTAAATACTATAACTAATTAAATGTGTGTTACGTAAGATAGGCTTACAAATTTCTATTTCCAAATACTAATGACTTATCCTTAGTTGACATTATTTTGTCAGATCTTAAATATGCATCGGTGTAGATGCTCTTATATAAGGCTGTCAAATCGGGCAGTCGTGTCGTGTTTTTGTCTGACACAACACGACACGATAAGGTTTTGTGTAACACAAACACGACATGACACGATGTCGTGTTTTTTTCATTAACACGAAAACAAACCAATTAAAACACGACAACACGACACGACACGACAAAAATAATATTACATAACTATTAGTTTATTTCATTCATACTTAAAGATATATAATACGACAAAAAAGACAAACACGAAAAACACGACAACCACATATTTATACAACTCAATCCAATACAATTATTTGTATCCATTAACCATTCAACTCAAATCTATTTTTATTTTAAAAATATAATTTATCGTTATTTTTATTTTACTTAAAACTTCTAGAAATACTACTAAAAATATTAAAGTAATATTTTATTTTGAAACAAATAAATTATTTATTTTAAGCACTAAATTAAATAAAAATAGAAGAGTTGGTATGGAATTTGATTTATGCTAATATTATACTCTATTTATGGAGAAAAAATCTCGAGTTTCAGTATTTTTTATTTTTATTTTTTTGACTAAGATAAGATTGGATTTTTAATGATAATAATTTTTATCCAAAAAAAAATACATATCCACCCACTGAAGGATAAACACATGGTGTAAAAAAAGTTGGTGACCCTTTGTGAACTTGGATCGTAGGTGTGGCCTAGGCCATATGTATTTATGAATAATAATAATAATAATAATAATAATAAAATGTGGACGAGTGACTCGTCCAAAACTACCAATAGGGGTAGCCTTATGCATTTAAATTCGCGCGCTTTGTTTTAAAGGGCATTGTACAAGTATTTTACAGTTATATGTAACATCCAAAATTTTAAACCAAATTTTCATTTTTAAAACCATAGAAAAAAAAGTTTTCGTAAAAACCATCCCAAGGAAAGTCATAATTTCAAATACAATTCCACATCAAATTATCAGTGTCCCAAAATGTCCAAACAAAATCTCCCGACAAATGTGTACAATCAAGCCTACACCTTCCCGTGATCCTCAGAAGTATCTAAAACACATTTAATCAACAACTGTAAGTACAAATCTTAGTAAGTTCCCCAAGATATCCCATACAGCACAACACATAAAACAACTAAGGGTTATCAGCAACCCTGGACTCTAACCGAAGTCTCAGTGGGTAAAACAGCACATGTGGGTTATCAGCAACCCTGGAGACTACCTGAAGTCTCAATCACACATAAACAACACAAACATAATAAGAACATCTGGACCCAGCTGGTCATTACATATATACAGCTATTCTACCACACAGGTAAGAGTAAGTGAGGAGACTCACCTGACACTGATGACTGATAGAAGTAACACTCGAACTGCCGGAACTAGACTCCGCCTAATTAAATACACCAATTAACCTTAATTAATAATTAAGGTATTTTCACACTCTACTAAGGCCCAAGACAATTCTAGCCCACACACTTAGAGTAAAACACCATTTTACCCCTCACAAACCCCACCCATTCACTTAATACCCACTTGGTCTAAATTCATAAAAGTCAACTTGGGTCAGTACTCTCGGCGTAGGGCTCATCACCAGAAACGGGCTCACATAAGGCTACGCAGGGTGTAGCCAAGCGTACGTTACGTACGTACGTTGTTCTCACATTCTTCATGCAAACGTCTTAATCCATAAAGACATCCATTCCAAACACAGATCTGGCCCCTAAAGAATATATTGATCCATAAAGTCTTTGACTTTATGCCCTTGCATGGCTAGAAAGAGCTACAACTCAAAACCCATAACTTTGACTTCATAAAAACCCCCACAAATCTTGCATGAAAGAAAAGAAGTGACCAAGATAGCGTTTTTATGACTCAAGACACCTTAGAATGTCTAAAAGGACAGCTTAATAGCTCTGGAGTTGTAACACCCCGACTCCCAAGTATATTTTAAAAGCTTTTTATTCATTTTATTGAAGGAACTCAACGAGTTGGAGGCCCTAACTCATCGTGTCGAACCTAGTCATCCCGCATGGTTTTTGACTCATACTCGACGAGTCGGAGGACCCCGACTCGACGAGTAGAGGTTGTTTATGGAAACCCTAATTTTTAGGGTTTGCACCCTATTTAAAGGACCTTAAGTCCTTTCCTCCAGCCCCCTTACCGCCTTTTGTCGGCCAGAAGAAACCCTAATTAGTCTAAATCTTGTTCTTGATTGTTTGAGAGGCTAAAGTGTGCTTTTGGTGCTTTTGATTGAAGAAGCTTGGAGTTTTAGAAGCTTGGAAAAAGAAGAAGAGGGTAGATCCAATATCTACATTGTCTTGGCTTGCATTTAAAGGTAAAGAGCCTTTACCTTGGTCTTCCATTTGTTAGATCCCTTCTTAAGTGAGAATATGGGCATTTTGGTGCAAAAATGGAGTTACTTTCGGATTTGAGCTTGTCACAAGGGCATAGTTTCAGATCTGGACTCCTCTAGGCCTTATGGACATAAAGCCTCAAGATTTATGAGGCTTTGGCTCTCCTTCATGTCCAAAACCTTCTTCTAAGGCTAGTTATGAGTGTTTTAGCTTAATGGATTGAAGGGACTCGACGAGTTGCATGGTTAACTTGACGAGTCCGATGAAGATTGGCCGTTGTTAGTTTCTGCATGGACTTGGCGAGTTAGTGAGACGACTCGACGAGTCAGTTAGGGTTTTTCCCGACTTTTGGACATGCATGGGTTGACGAGTTGTCTGGAAACTCGGCGAGTCAACTAGGGTTTTCACGATTTCTCGAGTTCTAGAAGGACTCGACGAGTCAGTGAGCTGCACTCGACGAGTTGGGTCAACATGGACTGTTGACCTTGACCGTTGACTTTGACTTTGACCAAGGGTTGACCAGTTTGACTTCTGGAGGTATTTTGGTAAATTGGGAATTTATGGAAGTGGTTCTATGGTGAATATAGGGGGTGGAGTTTGTGGCTGTGATTTGAGAGTTTGAACTTATCACTACAGTTTGACATTTATGAGGTGAGTTATCCTCACTATACTAAGGGGTCTAAGGCACCAAGGCCGACCCATTGGATTGATATCCTAGTAGTTATTGATATGCTGAGTATGAGTTAGATATTCATGTTAGTTCGATATGCTAGTCTGGTAGATCTGTAGGACTACCTGTGATGCTATATGATTATCTGTACGAACATTATTTGTTACACGTCAACATGTTATGTGGGTAGGGTTGAGGTTGCACTGCTCCGTGCGGTGACCAACAAATCCTGGAGTATGCCAGATATGAGTTGAGGGCCAGGGAGGGCATGTCAGACTCATAGTGAGGACTCCTAGGCATTCCAGATGCAAGATGAGGGCCAGGAGAGCATACCAGACTCGCACTGAGGGCTAATCATTTTGTTACAGTCCTAGGACTGAGGGAGCAAGCTAGATATGAGTTGTGGGCCTGTAAGGCAAGCCAGACTCATACTGTGGGCTCAGGGGTAATCCAGTCTGTAGAGTTGTGGACCCATTACATGTTGTTATTATGTGTACTATTTGTTATGTATCTGTATTTTGGGGGAACTCACTAAGCTTCAGGCTTATAGTTTCAGTTTTGGTTTCAGGTACTTCGGATGATCGCGGGAAGGCGAAGGTGTGATC